TCTCATTTGGTTCGTGCCAATCAATTTTGACGAGTGTTTTAGACATGAGACGTGTGTCAGCGAAGTTTGTTCCGAAATTGCTCAATTTCGACCAAAAGAAACGTCGCATGAGCATCGCCCAAGAGCTACTGAATGACGTCAACGATGATCCAGATTTACTCAACAGGGTTATAACAGGTGACGAAACATGGGTATACGGTTATGACGTCGAGACTAAGACTCAATCGTCCCAATGGAGACATTCTGGATCACCAAGACCAAAAAAAGCACGCCAAGTTGGATCAAATGTAAAGGTTTTGCTTACAGTTTTCTTTGACTGCAGGGGCGTGGTGCATCATGAGTTCTTGCCACAGGGTAGAACAGTAAATAAGGAATATTACCTGCAAGTTATGCGCAATTTGCGCGAAGCAATCCGCCAGAAACGTCCGAATTTGTGGAAAAATAAAAATTGGCTTTTGCACCATGATAACGCCCCTGCTCATACATCGTTGCTTGTGCGCGAATTTTTGGCTAAAACCAACACAGTAACGATGCCACAGGCACCGTATTCCCTAGATCTGGCCCCCTGTGACTTCTTCTTGTTCCCAAAACTGAAGAGGCCCATGAAAGGACGGCGTTTTGCCACGATTGAGGAGATAAAGACGGCATCGAAGGATGAACTAAACAAGATCACAAAAAATGATTTTTTGAAATGCTTTGAGGATTGGAAAAAGCGTTGGCACAAGTGCATTATATCCGAGGAGGATTACTTTGAAGGAGATATAATAAAAATTGATGAATAAATAAATATTTTTTGAGAAAAATAAAAATTCACCTTACTTTTTGATCACACCTCGTAAGTTTACGGCTATTTTGATACAGAATCAATTTATGCAGACGCAGCGTAATTTTTTTACTAATGAAATTTTTCTTACCGTTACTTTACAAAGAAAATTCTTTTTCTTTCGAATTGAAATTTCTTTATTGTGTTTCGGATGAAGGGACAGTTTTCTTCAAACTTAGGTTGCTGCGAGTTTCGAAAATTTCTATATCCTATTCCGTCTCTGAGAGTATGTACAATTTTACTCTTTCAATGCAGCATTTGATACTCTGATACCAGTACTGCATGATTGGGGATGGTTTTCTGCAGACCTTGAATGTTGCGAATTTCGAAAAGCTATAAAAGATGCTCTGCACCTGAGTGTACGTGCAACTTTATTCTCTAAGCTTGGTACCGGATACTTAGATTCCGGCAATTCCCGCAATATATATATATATATATATACAGCCATTAGATTAGTTGCTGTTTAAACATTGTCTCCTGAATATAATTTTTGAAAAGTAAACTGTAAAACTTTCTGTCGAAAATTTTGGCGTCATCGTACGTGAAGGTAAACTACCAAAGCGTCATGGGGATTTACTTCTACATAGTATTAAAGCAATTTTTTGGGGTCTATCTAATTATGGTAATTCCAATTGCGTTAGATTCAAAAACGTTTACGTTTACTCGAAATATCTCAATTAACCAACATATAAATTACTGAAAGAAATACTGAAGCCAATAAACGGGGTGAATTATTTTCTCTTCAAAGAACATGAGTTAGTGATTGATACCCAGCATGTATTATTCAATTCGATAATAATATTTGATGACTTCGCGTGTGAAAAGTAGGACAACGTGCGTTCTTTGTTTTGTATAGATAGACACAGAAATGTCGACTGCTTCTATCTCTCACAAACGTACACTTGTATTTCTAAACATCTTGTAAGAGATAATGTTGATTTGTTGGTAGTTTTTAAACAAATCGATGCAGGTATCACTCATATAAATTCCGATAATTGCATAAATTCGGACATGACTTACAATCAATTTGAAGATCTATATGCGAAATCTTGACTTTTAGTGATTGACAAGAATAGAGTAAAAATGGAGCTTATTTGCTTAGTAACTCTACAGTGATTTTTTATGAGAATACCGTGAGCGTTGATGATTTCAAGTATTCGAAAACAAATGGTTTAATGGAGTTATTTGTGACAGAACAGCCTGATAGAAGTCTAATAACGCAAGACAATCCCAAGAGATATCAAGAAATTTTATCTCGATTTATTAGAAATTTTTAGGAAATTCTAGAGATCATAGAGAAGTATGAATCCAGGTGAACTTATACCAGCACATCATAGCTACAAAAATAATAACATCGTTGGCCCAATATTTAATAAGACTAAAAACCCTAAGATAGGAGAGAAAGGGTTAAAAATTGGTGCATCTTTACCTAGGTATACGGTTGCATTAATCAATAATATTAATATAGATTATGCGTGTTAGGATGATCCAAATGAACTCTTCGATCGTCTTTAATTAGTTGTACCTGAAAAATCAGCAGGTAACAATAGTCATATCAACAAAATCCATTCGACAGTTTAGGAACTACGCAAGGGTGGATATATCTTGAGAGCATTACTGCCATTCATTTATTATAAAAATGAGGTTCATGTATTCCGATGTAAACTTGGACATCGAGTTAACGACCATTGTAGCCCACCAAATCTCCGATTCAAGCTCATGTCATAAGGTCATTTCGATCTGCAACATAAAAGATTAGAAAATGTTGCTCCACCACTAAATTCTGACGAGGCTATTAATTTGCAAACTGTTCAACGTATCGTTCAGTCGGCAGTAAAAACTGTTACAGATACTATCACAGCATACCTGAAAAATAATCTCAATGACTTAGTTGTAATAAATAAATCAGTCATAAAAATAGGTACCCAAAATACAGAAATAGACGGGTCGTTTGATGGAGCGTCAGAAAGAGTGGTGGAAGAGCTTCACAAACCAGCTAGACGTAATTACACAGGCCAATAAAATTTGACGAAAATTCAAATCCAGAGACCAGACCTAGTATACCCAAAGGAATTTGATGCGCTGAATCCAAAACTGGCTTAATGGATTGATACATCACTCTTAGTTTATGAAATATCCTAACCTAAAAGTGCACAAAATACTGTTTTTCGGTATTTTTGAACTCTTACCACATCGCTAATTTCTATTTTAGTTAAAAACTGGAAATAACATTCGAAAGGAGAAGTCGTCCACTTTAAAAAGCACTACCTCAGTTTTTAAATTGAAATTATTAAAGCGTCGGGATTTGGGTTTATCTTTGGGTTCAGCCTGTCGTAGGTGTAAGGAATATAAGGTTCTTGAGATTTGGGTTTGACGTTAATCTGTCGGAGTGTAAAGATAATATATTATTTGTGACTTTGAATGTTTACAGTTCCTGTTTCATGCATGTTTTACTTTATTGGGTAACTCATCTATTAGGGTTCGTGAATTAATGCCAAAAACATTTTGAATTTATTGATTGTTTAAGGTTATATGTGCTGTCTGACTAGATTACATTATATACTGGTATATGCAGAATATATATGAATTTCCAATCTATATTTACATACCTCAGATTATTTTTCATGTACTTTATATTATCGATGAATCGACAAATTAGCGATGTGAGAAGAGTTCAAAAACAGTGAAAAACAGTCTCTTTTGCACTTCTATGTTAGGATATCTCAGAAACTATAAGAAAACCCATATATAGATCTTTTCAATTGAAAACGATTATTTTTAAATTGGGCTTATAGGCTCACATATACAATATAGGCTCTTTTAACGTTGTTACGAAACTACGAAAATACGTAACTTCAATCAATGATATCTCGATGAGAAAAAAAGCTATCTTAAATTTTAAAAATGGATTTCAGAGGGCAAGAGTGCTCTTTTATGATGCTGTCGCCCGTTTTTGGAAAAAAAAATTTACTCAAGATGCTATGTAACCTCAAAAACCGTAAAAAACAGTGTTTTTTGTACTTTTAGGTTAGGATATCTCGGGAACCTAGGGTGATGGAGCAATTCTGAGGCCAGATTTGGATTCAGCACATCAAATTCCTTTGGGTGCAGTATGTCTGGTCTCTGGGTCTGAAAATTGTCGGCCTGTGTTATTATTTCTGTTTCATTAGTGTCAAATAATTTAATTGCAAGATGTAATTCATGTATTTCTTTTTTTCCTTCAGCGTTCTCTGTCTCTCTCTCTCTCTCGCTCTTTCACTTCTCTTTTTCTTTGCGCATGACCGTCTCCCTTTTCTCTGTATCATTGCCGTGCCTATAATAAACAACAGATATGTAAATACAAAGACAAAGCGTAGTGATTCCCAGCCTAAAATACTTCGTTACATATTTCACTGTAATCTTCAAATACTGTCATAATATGGCCACTTCCGTTTCATTTTTATGAAATATTTCATTTATTATTTGTTCTTTAATATTTTTATGTTCTTGTTTTGATTGAGCAATAAACTTCTCGGCTAGCGTTAATGTTATTCTGTAGTTTTGGTGGTTATTACAGATGAAAAATAAATTACTTATAAGTTTAACTGGATTCCCAGTGTTATAGTTCGCTCTGCATTTTTTAGTATGAATGCAATTTTCACAGACTACATTCTACAGGACCTACGTTTGTACTTAGATTGCCCTTATAAATGTTAGTATCGTTAGTGGTTCCCATACTCTAGACGCCATGTTTAAAACTTAACGGAACACAATTTTTCATAACCCATATCTTTCCTCGAAATATCTAAATATAATTAATATATAAACAGTGATGTTCGTATTTGCATAAGTTTTATAAACCAAAAGGATTATTATATAATATATTTTCAAATATGTAGAAATATGTTGAAAATCATCTTCGATATATTCACTTTTTTCCATGATTTCCATTTAATGTTTGTAATATTTCAGACATTAAATGGACAATGAATGAGCAACTTCTGTTATTAACACGATACTTGAGTTAAATGGTGACATAAGAAATCTTATAGTTATGTTTTAAACATCCCATAATCTGTTTAAATGTAGTTTCCTTTGAAAAATATAGATTGACAATAAATTTAGTGCTATTAACAGAAAAGGTGATTAATATCTTATATTTGCGAACATACTATATTATATTTATCTACCATCACAGGAACAAAATGTATATCTGGAGAACATCTAAGTGTAAGTGGAAGAGCTCTCAACGATTGTCACGCAGAGGTTATAGCTAGACGTTGTTTATGTGAATATCTATATAAACAATTAGAATTACACACGGAATGCTTAGAAGAGGAATCTATTTTAGAACATAAAAAGAAGGGATACAAACTGAAAGATGGAATCCAGTTCCACTTGTATATCAACACAGCACCGTGCGGAGATGCTAGAATTTTTTCTCCCCATGAGGATAATGATTCCGTAGATAAACATCCAAATAGAAGAGCTAGAGGTCAATTACGAACGAAAATTGAGTCTGGCGAAGGAACTATACCTGTGAAAAGTAGTGAAGGTATTCAAACTTGGGACGGAGTTTTAATGGTAAGAATTGCCTTTCTCATTCGTGTTTTACTCTATACTATAATATATTAAGTATAAATATATGTAATATAATATTACATGTTTTTCAAATTGTATAACTTATGTGTAATTTGATTTACTGTTGATTGATTTCAAAAATATCATTGGTCTAGGATCGATCAACTAGGATCGATGTAAGTCTTTTTATAAACCGCTTGCGTCACTTAAGAAATCGAATAGTAAATAAAAACTAGATATTTTTTACTACTAAACATGGAAAAGATGCTATGTAAGAACATACTATACGAGGTGTGATCAAAAAGTAAGGTGAATTTTGAAATTTAGCGGGCTACGTCCGTTCGATCTTCGACTTTTTTATTTGGTTCTGTCGGTACACTCGTCTAGAACATACGTTCCAAATTTCAGCTTTGTAGTATGTTTGGTTTGTTTGTGAGAGGCATCAAGGTTAGAAGTGTTTTGCGTGCTCCACGATTTGCTGCTGTCTAAAAACATGAATCAAAGAGTTTGCATTAAATTTCGTGTGAAAAATGGAATCAAATGTTCCAAAACACTTGAAATGCTGAAAGTGGCATACGGTGAGTCTACTTTAAGCCAAAAAAATGTTTACAAGTGGTATAAACTCTTCCAAGAAGGCCGAGAAGACACCGACGACGAACCTCGTTCTGGACGCCCCAGCACATCAACAACTGATGAGAATGTTGAAGAAGTGAAGAAAATAGTGTTGGGAAATCGTCGAATTACCATTAGAGAAATTGCTGATGATATTGGCATCTCATTTGGTTCGTGCCAATCAATTTTGACGAGTGTTTTAGACATGAGACGTGTGTCAGCGAAGTTTGTTCCGAAATTGCTCAATTTCGACCAAAAGAAACGTCGCATGAGCATCGCCCAAGAGCTACTGAATGACGTCAACGATGATCCAGATTTACTCAACAGGGTTATAACAGGTGACGAAACATGGGTATACGGTTATGACGTCGAGACTAAGACTCAATCGTCCCAATGGAGACATTCTGGATCACCAAGACCAAAAAAAGCACGCCAAGTTGGATCAAATGTAAAGGTTTTGCTTACAGTTTTCTTTGACTGCAGGGGCGTGGTGCATCATGAGTTCTTGCCACAGGATAGAACAGTAAATAAGGAATATTACCTGCAAGTTTTGCGCAATTTGCGCGAAGCAATCCGCCAGAAACGTCCGAATTTGTGGAAAAATAAAAATTGGCTTTTGCACCATGATAACGCCCCTGCTCACACATCGTTGCTTGTGCGCGAATTTTTGGCTAAAACCAACACAGTAACGATGCCACAGGCACCGTATTCCCCAGATCTGGCCCCCTGTGACTTCTTCTTGTTCCCAAAACTGAAGAGGCCCATGAAAGGACGGCGTTTTGCCACGATTGAGGAGATAAAGACGGCATCGAAGGATGAACTAAACAAGATCACAAAAAATTATTTTTTGAAATGCTTTGAGGATTGGAAAAAGCATTGGCACAAGTGCATTATATCCGAGGGGGATTACTTTGAAGGAGATAAAATAAAAATTGATGAATAAATAAATATTTTTTGAGAAAAATAAAAATTCACCTTACTTTTTGATCACACCTCGTACATATTCAATAGTAATGATTATGGCTGCAATCTTATATTAGTATGAGTAATATATTTAACAACATGTACTTTTTGCTGCCACTATGAAAACACCCGTGAATATTCTTCTAATTTAACGGGTATAATATTTTGATAATTAATTTCCTTTGTTCTCATACGTTTTAATTTAAAATATACAAAAGATAAATATGTAGTTTCTATTTTATTTTTATTCATTCTCTTTTTCTTTCTACCAAATTTTAACACAACGATATTCATTGTAGTATCCGAGATGGTTATAAAATTAATAATTTGTACAAATAATTTTAAAACATAACGTATTATGTTCTTAAACCAATTTACTAACATATTTCCATTCTTGCAGTTTATTATCCATGTTAATTATTCATAAATTGAATTTATCGCTAAAATAGCAATCTTACACCCTTTGATATATAATAATAATAATAATTTCAAAGTATAGGAAAATTCAAAATTTCGCGTTCTATTTTTGCATCAACAAATCACAACGCTGGATGTCAGCGACTCATCTTTTTTTAAAGATAAGATAGGAATAAAATATGTAAAAAGTATACAAATAAAAAATAAATATAAGGCAAAGATAAGGATAGGATAGAACTATCAGCTGCGCCTAACAATTTAATTTTGTTTCTTTTTTAACGTATTGGTTCATGGTATCAAACTTTCCATAGGATTTCTCCATATCAACAGATATATTATTTTAATTTAACTGTTTTTTCCATTGTTCATCTGAAACCATTTGGAGAGTTTGTTTACATTTATAAATTAAATATTAAAATTTATTTTAAATAAATTAACGGTGCCGACTGCACCGAAATAAATTCGCAGAATTTCATATAAAATATCAATTTACCATTCTTCTCCATATAAATCATATTTATCCAAAGCTAAACTTTACAATAAAGATATATTCAATTAATTTATATGTCCAATAAATAAATGCAATTGAAGTGCATTAAGATTACTTTATCGTATTTTTTTAAAGTTAGGCCACTGAGAGAATGTAGAAGTCATTTACAGTTTAATGCCTACACATTATTATACTTATTTGTATTGATAGATGTAAAGTACTTCGATTTATTATTATGACCGATTTACTCATAACTGTGACACACATGACGAAATTCAGTCAATCAAGTCATAAATAAAATTACTTCACTCAGCATCACTTTTTCATATAGGAAAATAAAAATATATAGGTTTAGATAAACTTTACGCGTTTTTATCTTCTTTTGTATTTCTTATTGTTATATCGATATTAACATATTTAACAAATTACTATTTTCAAAGGTAGATTTTTCCATTTTTTTAAAAAACCCATATCACAGCCGAAAATGTGTATTAGTGATGAAACACGTTTTCAAATTTATGATTTATTATATCAAAAACTGCAATAAATATAATCTTATACTATTTTTTTCTCAACGTGTTAATTTATTATTAAACTTATTTATTCTACTTTTTGAATAAAGATTGCAACATTACAACTTTTATTTTACACATTCAAAAACCAAATTTTCGATTATTAATAGAAAATATTTAGAGCAATTTCAACCTATATTATTTGTATGAAACGATTTCTTCGTTGTTAGTTTCATATTATGAGTATAAACGATATTACAGTCTACTTTTTTACTTCCTTATCTTCAAAATTATCCGTATGATAAATTATGATGATTTGAATTGTTATTAGTAAAATCTCAACTCAAAACCATACCTATATGCTTATTTTCCGCCATATAAGTATATCACGCAATTATATCTCAGCCATCAGATCGCTATATGCTTCAACGTGGCATCCATCACTTTTTTATAAGGGATAAAACTGATAAACAATGAACTACATTATGATTATAAATGATGAATGAAAGATTAAATTTTTTATATTTTATTTTTTTGCTAAAAACAAATTAAATTAAATCTGAAATAAAAAATCAACTAAATTCAATTTGACTTCTCGCGGCTTTTTTCATTTGGGCCAATCAGGTCACGAATAAAATGCGTCAATAAGGCTTCCATCACTTTTTTATAAGGGGATCTTCGGTTCTATTCAACATTTATTAATAAAACAAAATAGAAAAGAATTGCCATGGACAACGTAACAACAGCATATAGGTTTCGATAATAAGGGTTGAAACCCTTAGATTTAATAGGGGCAAAACTGTATTTTCCTAGTATTTGTTTCGTGTGAAATTTCACAGAACTGTTACAAAAATATAAAAAAATGTTTTTCAAATACAAAATGACAAAAAAGAGTTAACCTGTTTCGGTGTTTCCGCATAATCTTTTGTTATGGGGGTGAACTACCGCTAAATCCTATTATAAAGCAAACAAGATAAATAATACAATAAACGAATCCCCGATTTTGATAAAATTGTGATATGTTATAGAGCACTGAAAAGTAAGGAATAAGTATCTTTAATCAGCTAATATTCAATTAATTTTCAATAACTTTTATGAATTTTCACAATTAATTTTATTCATTCTTTAAATGATGAACAATAATGATAGTCTTCAAAAAAGAGTTTGAAGCATAAAGATTTTTTACACCAAGTACAGCGAACTATTCCAATATTACTGCAGCCTTCAATATTGCAATGCATTTTGTAAGAATCGCCAAAGCTGAAGTCGACAGGATTCTCAAATTTTCCAGGGTTTATGTCAAGGTAACCACTTTTGTACCAAGAATATTTAATAAGATTTTTATATCTTGGGGGTGAAAATTGGTTATGTACTAGAGATTGCAGTTTAATAATATTATTACATTTATACAATTGCATATCATAATCCATTAAAATTACTTTGTCTGAAATATGTCTAACATAATTTTTCGAAATGCGAAAATCAAATACGTCTAAAGATTGAATTTATCCTGTAGTTCCTGTAGAAATTTTTTTTATATTTACTTCTTTATTAACAGGTGTAACTTCTTCTACTATTTTAGGACAATGCCCACTCCAAGAATTTAATAATAATATACTTTAAGGACCAACTTTCGGAAAATATATTTTTTGTAACCAAATTTTAGAATGATCTGAAAAAAATTATGTTTTTTAATGTTGTTGTATAGTTTACAGGTATTCTCGTAAAATTTTACTTTTTTTAAAGAAAATTTTGATTAATACCTGAAGTCAGTTTTCCAGATTTTGATGCTTCAACATGTACATTTTTAGATCGAAATAAATTAGATTTAACAATTGGTCCAAACTAGCCACTTTTTTCTATTAAAACAATGAAAAGTGGTGAAAGTTATCTTGAAGGATATCTTGGAGGCGCTGAAAAGTAACTTCGGGATCCCACCATACCTGCTTCGGGTTGTGGAGGATTATCTAAAAAACAGACGGATAACATACGAGACGATCGAAGGTCAT